CGGGGCTTACTTCAGGCCAACATAGAAAGAGCAGCAGCTATAATTTATATAGCATTTATCATGTGTAAGGCACTATTAATTTCATATCTATCTATTCTTTTAATTTTCACAATAACCCTATGAGGTAGGTACTAATGCTCCACCCTGAGGCAGCTCTGCGATGGCAGAACTGGGATCTGAAACTTGGCTGCTTGCTTCCTAGAACCTGAGTTTTTGCCACTACACTGGACTGCCTCTCCAGAGCTGATGCCTCCCTGAGACCCTCCCAAGGCACTGGAGCCATGAGCAGGGGCTCCCTCTCATGCTTGCCTGCTGTATTACAGGTCCTGAGCACTGACTTCTGAGACTATAGGCTACAAAATTCAAACCTGTCTTGAGGATGCTAAGAGTAGGAGGGGCCCTGATTTCAAGTCAGGAACTATGGATTTCAAATTTCTGGATGCCACCAGAATGGCCAGTATTAAAGAAAACTGACACCACCAAGTGCTGACCAAGATGTGGAGCTGCTGGAGCCCCCATATACAGCCGGTGAGGATGGAGTCAGTAGGGCCGCTTTGTAAAACTGTTTGGCAGTGTCTAGACAAGCTAAACATATGCCTACTCTATGATTCCATGCCTGAGTATGTGAGTGAACATGTGTACCAAGCAACATGCACAAAATTCTTCACAGCACTTTTATTTACAATACCCCCAAACTAGAAACAACCCAGCTGTCCCTCAATAGGATGACTTGGCAGGCGCAGTAGCTCACACTTGTAATTCCAGCACTTTGGGAGGCTGAGGTGGGTGGATCCCTTGAGCCCAGGAGTTCAAGACCGGCCTGGGCAACAGAGACCCCATTTCTACAAAAAATTAGCTGGCATGGTGGCATATGCCTGTGGTCCCAGCTACTTGGGAGGCTGAGGTGGGTGGATCCCTTGACCCAAGGAGGTCAAGGCAGCAGTGAGCCTTGATGGCACCACTGCACTCCAGTCTGGGTGACAGGGTGAAAACGCCTCAAAAACAAAAACAACAAAACAAAAAAGAAGGATGGCCAAATTGTGCTATATTCAAATAAAGGACCACTACACAGCATGAAAAAACAGAATTTTTTTTTTTTCTTTTTGAGACGGAGTCTCACATCACCCAGGCTGGAGTGCAGTGATGTAATCTCAGCTCACTTGTAACCTCCACCTCCCAGGTCCAAGCGATTCTCCTGCCTCAGCCTCCTAACTGGGATTACATCTGCCACCACCACAGGCTAATTTTTGTATTTTTAGTAGAGACAGGGTTTCACCATGTTGGCCAGGCTGGTCTTCAACTCCTGACCTCAAGTGATCCACCCGCCTTGGCCTCTCAAAGTGCTGGGATTACAAGCATGAGCCACTGCACCTGGTTGAAAAAATTGAACTTCTGAGACATATAGTAACATGGATGAATTCCACAAACACAATATTGTGCAAAATGTATGTATAATTCCCTTTTTATAAAACTCAAGAGCAAGCCAAACTAATCTGTAGAGGTCAAAATAGTGGTTACTTCTAGGGGATACTGAGTAGGAGGGGAAGTGAGGGAACGTTCTGGGGACCTGGCAATGTTCTGTATCTTGATCTGGAGGGTAACAGCCCCAAGGTATACATATTGAGGATTCATCATATTGAAGTCTAAAACTGGTGCACATTACTGAATGGTGTATCTCAAAAAGTTAGGAAAAAAAAGAAATAGTTAAACATGGTGTAACTCAAAAAGTTAGGAAAAAAAAAGAAATAGTTAAACAATTTCTGGGTATGGTAGACAATTGTTTTTGTTCCCTCCTCCCCATGCATCCACTTCCCTTTAATCCAGAAAGCCCTCCAACTTTCTTTTGGGGTTGCGTCACTCCTTTTTCTTCTTTTTTCTTTTTGAGACAGAGTCTTGTTCTGTTGCCCACGCTGAAGTGCAGTGGCGTGATCTTGGCTCACTGCAACCTCCACCTCCCGGGTTCAGGTGATTCTCCTGCCTCAGCCTCCTGAGTAGCTGGGATATCAGGCACATGCCACCACAACCAGCTAATTTTTTTGTATTTTTAGTAGAGATGGGCTTCCACCATGTTGGTCAGGCTGGTCTCAAACTCCTGACCTCATGATCTGCCCGCCTCAGCCTCCCAAAGTGCTGACATTACAGGCATGAGCCACTGCACCTGGCCCCCACTCCCTTTCTCAGTGTTTTAGGTGGAGCTGACTCGGCTGTAGGCACATGACCCAGGCCCCAAATCAGAGTGCCATTCCCCTAGCCACAATGATTACTTCAGGGATGAGAACAGGACTAAACCGGCTGAGGCAATCCCAGACATTTTGTTGGAACTAATGGAAAAAGGTGTTCTTTCCACTGCTGTTACTAACGTACCAGGATAGAAGCCTGGGGCTGCCAGTGGCCACCTTGCCACCTGTTAGAGAGCCTGCCTGAGGGCACACAGAGGAAAGCAGAGGGACAGAAAATTCTTCCTGATGAACCCATCTGAGTCTGGGTCCAGCTATCACTGTATTTGAATTTTTCATTAAGTGAATCAATACATTCACTTTTTTAGCTAACTGCTTGGATTTGGGTTTCCAACAGTTTAATAATGAGAGTCTAATATACTGGGAATGAGACAAAATTATGAGAAAAACGGAGGGACTTGGAGTATGAACGCTGAGGCTTGATCCGTCTGTTTTGTGGCTGCTCGTCCTGTGAGACCATGGCACTAGCAGGAGACTGGTGAGGCAGGCTGCAGGGGCCATGTGGGAGGGACTCTGGTCCTCACTTGTAAAGGGTTCCAGAGCAAGTCTAGAGAACCAGATTCTACTCCCCATTCTGTCGCTTCTTAGAGGCGGGACCTTGGGCAAATCATGACACCTCTTTTAGCCTTGTTCCTTCTATGATTTTTATTTATTTGTAGAGATGGGATTTCACCATGTTAACCAGGATGGTCTTGAACTCCTAGCCTCTTGTGATCCGCCTGCCTCAGCCTCCCAGTCCTGGGATTACAGGTGTGAGCTACCCCACCTGGCCTCCTCTATATGGAATAGCAACTCTTAGCTCACAGGTTGTTATACAGATCAAATGCTAGTTTCCCAATCTCTCCCGCTTTTTTACACCCTTGGCTGAAACAGCTCGTGCATCCTGGGCATTCTTACCATTGTCATAATGATCTTTAACCATGTGTGAACCCCCAAGGGCAAGAAAATTTTCATCTCTAGGACCTCTTACCAACAAGGCTGGCCACACAGCTGGTAGGGACTACCAAGTGGCCTTGCAGGCCAGAGGCTTACAGTATGATAGCCCACTCACCCCCGATCCTTCATTCCCTTGCTTAGTAGATGGGGCTGAATCTGGTATACTGGTGGCTTAGAAGAACTCGGGGGGAAATTGCTGAGGTAGTCTGATCTTGGGAAGCTGAATGATATGAACCTCCCCTGGAGCTGGGTAGAGACTTTCACAACTGACCAGAAGCAGGGGCTGAGTGGTGCTGAATGGGAGCTGTGGCTGCCTGGGTCCCTTCCTCAAACTTGGCTGCAAAGGATGGGACAAAGAGCTCTGAGGCCATAACATTCTTCTTTTTAAATTTTAAAAATTATTATTTTTAGAGACAGAGTCTTGCTCTGTTGCCCAAATTAGAGCACACTGGCATAACCATAGTTCACTGCAGCCTTGAACTCCGGGTTCAAGCAATCCTCCTGCCTCACCCTTCCAGGTAACTAGGATTACAGGAATGCACCACCACACCCAGCTATCTTCTTTTAAAATTTATTTTTATACCGTTTTTTTTTTTTTTTTT